TCTCTTCATATGATAGTTGGTTATTTCCATGAAATGTCTAGTACTTTGCTCATTTTTCTAGGGGGCTGTTTGTAGTATGTTGATTTACAGAGATTCTTCAGACATTGCTGATATCTGCTTTGTTGGCTGTATGTGGTGAATAATCTCCCAGACGGTAACTTGTCTTTTCACCTTTTTTTGTTAATCTTCACCCAAGAATATTTCTTCCATTGATTTTTAGAGAGAGTGGAAGAGATGGAAGGGTGGGGAGAGAGAGGGTGGGAGAGAGAGAGAACCATCGATGTGAGACACATCAATTGGTTGTCTCCTGCATGTGAGAGAGACACCTGGATTGGTTGCCGCTCACACACGCCCCAACCGGAGCTAGGGATAGAAACTGCATCCCAGGTTTGTGCCCTTGACCGGGAATCAAACCCTTGACCCTTTGGTGAGTGGGCCAACACAGTAACCACTGAGCAACACCAGCCAGGGCCATCTTTTCACTTTTAAAGGTATTTTTTGGTAAATAAGAGCTACTGATTTTAATATAGTTGAATTATTATTTTTTAAAATTAGTGCTTTTTGTATCAAAAGAAAAATTTCCTGTCTCAAAGTCTAAAATTATGGTTCTCACAGTACAATCCGTGGAACCATGGGGGTTCTTGACACACTCTCAGGGGGCCATTAGGTCATCCCATTATCCAGAATACTAACATGTTATTTGCCTGTTTACTCACTGTGCCAACATTTGTACTAATGCCGCAAAAAGCCAGGTGTGTAAGATGAACCTTCTGGTACTTTAGCACAAACCAACACCATGTACCCAGCTGTCCCATAGTCATTGCCCATCTTACTGCCACACAGTCTTAGTAAACAAGCAAACAAAGGGCAAATTCACTCTAGAATGTCTTGGATGACATAATATATGTTGTTAATTTGATTAAAACTTATCCCTTAGGTATGTGTCTTTTAAATATTTTGTGACATGTATATGAAGTCTATATAACTTTATTAACCAATGTCATCCCAATAAATTCAATAAAAAGGAAAATAAATAAGTACATATTTCATGACAAAATGAGGCTCCTCTGCCACATGCGATGGTTGACTAGAGGAACAGCCCCGAGTGAATGAGTGGGAAGCTGAATGAGATGCTTTTTTTGGAGCACCATTTTTACTTGAAAGAATGATACACGAACAATAGCAATCAGCCTTGGCGATTTGGCAGACATTTTCTCAATAATGAATGAACTTAGCCTTCATGTCAGGGAAAACAACTCGCAGTACTTTTCAGCACTTAGATTGAGACCAGTGCCAAGATTAATACAGTGTTTTGATACTATATCATAGGAAATGTCTATCCTTCAAAGTTCTGCATGAATGTACACTTCCAAATAATCAATGATTATATGATGTTACAGAATCTAGAATGGGTAAAAGAGTTATTCAAAGGCCAAGTTAGACTAAGGGTTTTTAATGTAACAAAAATACTCATTGATATGGATTTAGATTCTACAAAGCAACCAGTCTTTAAGAATTTGCCACTGTTGAGTTTTGGTGTGATACCAAAGAAGAAGATCCAGAAGGCTATTAAAACACTGCTTCATTTCCTATTATATATCTGTGTGAAACTAGATTTTCTTCAATATACTTTAACCAAACCTACATGTTAAAATGGATCAATTGTAGAAGTGGATATGAGAATCTCTCTTAAGGCCAGATGTTAAAGAGATACTCAAGAATGTAGAATAATACCACTTTTGTAACTAAAACCTTTTTCTGAAAATATGATTTTTTATTAAAAGGTATTCTTGTTAAAATTTGATGCTATTATTTAAATGCATTCAAAATACATATTTTATAAATTTTATAATTGTAATTTCTAATGTAATAAGTATTGTGAGATATAACTTACACAAACAAAAGATCTTTGGGCTCCTCAGTACTGTGAAGGGGATCTTGAGGCCAAAAGTTTGAGAATTCCTTGGGAAAATGTATTTTACAATATTTTCCAATAATATTTTTGGGGAGTTAGTTTGCTTATTTTAATATGTCAGTCCTTAGTCTATAATGCACTGGACAGAATATGGACTGTCTATAAATACCAAAAAGGGACGTAAGACCTTTGTGAAGGGTAATTAAAATTTTTTTTTAGTTGTGAAACTTCCAACTCAGATAATCTTTCATTTCATTGTTTTCTTGAGTTTTTTTTGTAAGGTTTCTAGTCTTCTATCATCCACCAAATGGGTGAATGAAGCAAATCACCTGAGTGTCTTTCTGCACCTCTTTCTGCATGGAACCACCACGTGTGGGGCTCATGGGCCTGGACCCAGGGCTGCAGCACCCCTCGCTGTCAGGCCCACTGTCTCACTGGGAAGGACTGTCCTACTTGTTTCCACTATGGTAGGAGGCACCCAGGGCACGTGGGTGCACTAGCACCTCTGTGCGCTAGCACGATGCCCAGTTTCTTGTTGCAGTGACTGGAGGTAAATTGGGAGAAGTATTCATTTCCCCTAAATATTTTGTAATTTCTTTTTTGGCTCCACGAGTGTCAGATTCTAATTCAAACATTTTTTTGTGTGGGATTTTACTATCATCAGTACTACTTTTAACTGATAGGTTATTAGCATGGATGGGGGAGGGAGTTCCATTTTTATGTAACAGCTGCTATGTGTCGGATGCTAGCATTCTCCATTAGTATCTTAGTAGCTCTTTGGGGTGATAGCTTTATCATGATGTTTTATAGATGATGGGACAGAGGAAGATCATCAAAGAGGCAAAGAGCTAAGAAAACAAACAAAAATAATGTAGCTCAGTGTCATAGTAGATGCATATTCAGCTGTTTATCTTCGGAGTGCCTGCTTTTCCACAAAGCGTTGACTGCCTCTATAGAAGTCTGAGTCCTAGTAACATTGACTAATTCAGTGCGATTGTTGCCACTGTTGTGTAAACAGCTGGTTAAGGGGCAGAGTGGTCTTGCATCCCCATCTTGTGTTTCTAAATCACAGGTTTTATTGCGCATATTCATTTCCTTACTCAGAGGAAAGATAGCATAGGTGAAAGATTTAAAGCCAGATGGCTCCCCCAAATACCATCCATCCTTGGCCTTTGTTAGCTGTGTTAGCTTGTTCAAGTCACTGAACCTCTCTGGACCCTTGTTTCTTAATCTGTAAAATAAAGCCAACAATAGAAGGTCTTTCCCAATGTAATTTGACTGCTGGAAACCCCCAAGGTTGATATCAGTATTTGTGCAAAGACTTTAAAAGCAGGGAACTGTTCCTATGCGGACAATTAGAAGTCCCGTATCTCACGATCATATAAAAATTATGTAAGTCATCACTGTTGGTGTTCTCCTTACCCCTTGACTTCGAGGGCTGCCTTTTGAGACTGACTCTTTTTTTAAGTTGAGTCATATGAAATCACTGACTTTTTTTTTATCTATAAAAATTGAGTTTTATAGGGTTAATGCTAATACATTTAATAGGTATTAGTAAAATTACACATGAATGGTTAAAAAAAATCAATAAAATTGTACCAAAGGGCATATGGTGAAAAGTAAGCCTAGATCTTGGTTATGTTTTTCAAAACAAACTTTTACTCTAGATTTTCATCTCAGGCTGCCTTGATGACACCCGGCAGCCCCTTGCAGCCAGGGAAAGATGTTGAAGCACTAAAGGTAATCGTGTCTCCCTAGAATTGGTGGCGCTGATGCGGAGAGAGAAGTTGGAAATGCTAGTAGTCTATTCATTTTAATTACATAAAGTGTGAAATGTGTGTATATATTTGAATGTCTGTGTGTCTGTATCTCTAGAGAGAGATTTTCTCCCATGAATGCTTTCTTTAAGGGGGAAAACTGGCAAGAAAGTTGTTAGGAACAAAAATGAGTTAGAGAGAGGGCTTGAGACGGGGCAGTTTCTCCATTTAAAGACTCATTTGTAAAGAAGAGTCACAGCTTTTAAAAAATACTACAGTGAATGGTTTTAAAAAATATTTTCACAGCAGAGGGTGAGGGGCTTGTGATTGGTAGATTATCCTCCAAAACTCTGTCTTTGCTTGCAGTGTTCTTATCATTTCTCTGGAAAATCGGGTTCTTTAAAAAATATTTTTTTTAGGCTAAATAATAAATTGCAGTGGATTCTAAGCACAAATTAAGTTTTAAAATAACCTATTAGTCTATATTTTTATGGAATTTACTAGTCAGTTTCTAGAAAAACAAACAGTAGAAAAAGTTCCACAAATTATGTTCTCTATCCTTGCCATCCACAGATTAAAGCTAAAAGGCTATAGTGCTTGGTATTTAAATGTCTGTGAAATCTCAGAGAGAGAAATCAGAAGCTAAGAATCAAGAACATAGAAATCAAAACCTAAGACATTAACAGAAGCTAAAATAGCAACTGTGAGGCTGATTTAGTTCCTGTTTCTTTCCCTTGAAAATCAGTGTGACTCACCATTAGATGCACACCAGTGGCCCAGGTGTTCAGTGGCTCCGAGAAGACTTTAAATGCTTCCTTACGCGAAGTATTTCACCTTTGGTTTCAGTTTTTAGTGAGATTGTGGCCTTTTGTGCTCTTAAACCAAACCTTCTGGTTTTCTTTTTTTTCCTCTAGCATTTTAGTTTTTAATTGGACTCCCTTAGCTCTGGGGATTACGTCATGCCCCAGCTGTATTTGGTGCTCTTTATCATATCCAAAAGTGATTTTAACTCACTATGCACATAGACATGACACTGGCTTATATTTTACAGGCAATAGGATTACAACTTTTTAAAAGAAGGAATTTCTACAGCCTAATGCACAAGCCCATGGGAGAAAAGCATGCTTCTTGCAATTAAAAAGAACACTTATAGGGGAAAGTTAATTTAGTCTTTGAACTTGGAAAAGTCTAATTTCACCTGTAAATCTGTCACTTGTCATCCCATCCATTAAAACAATTTAGAACATTAAAAGCACAAAAAGCCATTTGCCACTGAAATCACAGATGTTCTTTAAATATACTAGATCGGATGGACTTTTCTTACTTACCAGTTGTTCAGGCCTCTTAAGGTCTCTGTAGGCAACAATTGGGCCAGCGACTGATGTTGAGGGAAATATACTTTGCTTTTTGCCTGGGCTGCTCCTGTTGATCAGTGGAAATGCTGCATTAGCTCTCAAACTAAAACATTTAATGTGCTCTACAAAATGTTGACTTTGTGCCAATGGTTTGAATGTCAAGTGCTACAGATGCCCAGTCCTCTTTGGAGCCCAGCTGTGCCATGTGCTTGTATAAGTTGGATCTGATTTGTGCTCAGGGTTACTAATTATTGAGGTCTGAGCAAGCAGTAACTGGGATGAAACTGTGTACAGAGAGAGAGGAGAGAGTGACCCCCAAGTGAGAGCTGCAGCCAGCAGGAGGCTCCTTCTTTCCCATGCCTGGCTGTGACCTCTTCCTGTGAAGCTGTTGTAAGAATAGCTTCTGTATTTATTGGGAAGTTTTTTCAAGTTATAATTCACACGGCTTCAACTAACTCCTTGAAAGTTGTTGAAAACCTGAAAAATGTTTGAAAGTAAAAGAGACCAGAACATTTCCCTTTTCAGTACCTGGTAAAGAAGTGGGGAGGCTGTGCAAGTGGGTGTTCACCTCGCATCTTCATCAGCAAAGGGTGAGGTAATGCTCAAATGAGAAGAAAGATCCTAAGGACCCCGGGGCTGTTCAGGGTGAAGCTGGTGCCTGATGTGCCTGGCCTATCCTAGCTCTGGTTCTGACTTATCCTCTTGAATTGGTGCTGTCGGGTCTCCTAATCTTTCTGCAGGTTACCCCCTCCTTAAATCTAGTTGTGGAGCACCCTGCTTGACCTCAGTTTCTGGATTATTTTTTATTTAACAGATTGTTGCCAGGACTCTGTACTTTACATGGCACTCTGGATTAATGCAGTCATAATTCATCTCTCAGGAGGAAGGGCCCGGCTCTCTTGTATTCTATTTGGACCTGTATCACCACCTTTACTTGTTTCACCAGTGTCTTCGCGTTTGTAGTGGGGTGGCATGCTCATTGTCAATCGTGCTTATTATCATTATCAAACACAAGAAAAGCCCTCATAAGTCCCCCTTGACCCTGAGTTCCTCTTGCTTGGCCCTATCGTTTGCTGGTCACCCAAGCTATAAACCATTAAATTCTCCTTCACCATCTCATCCACTCCTGTCCAGTCAGTCATCAAAACCTCATGATTTTTTAACACCTAAATATTTCTTGTCTGTGATTCCCTCCAAACCCAAGGTCATTTTCTGCCTATATTCCCCGCCTCCAGTCTGTTCACACAATATCTGCCCCCCAGTCATGCATGGGAGGGATCCCTCTAAAATATAAGCATGGCCATATCCTTTTGGTGGGTCCTTGTCCCCTACAGGGTAAGTTCATGGTGTTAAACCTGGCAGACCTGGTGCTGCGTGATGGACACTGCTCATCTCTGCCCTGACTCACCTTGAACTTTATATGATAGCTACACTGACCTGCTGGAACTTCCTCCAATTATCAGTGGTTCTTGCTTCCTTGCTTGGGCTCATGCCTTTTCCTCTGTCTGGACTCACTTTCTAGAATAACTCTCTCATCCTTTCACCTAGTTTATCCTGAATTCGAGCTGTGATTCTAGAATTTCAGCCATTCATGTACTCCTCACTTTTTATTCTATCCACATACATCTGCTCTATTTATATCTGATTTTTGTTTACATGGAGTCATCTTAAAAAGTAAGTGTTTAGCTTCAGCCTAAGCAAAAATATCTTTGAAATGACAGGTTTTATGCATCTCTTCATCTAGTCAGCCAAGTAATATTTATTAGTCACCTTCTGTGTGCAGATGCTGTAGGGCCCTGAGGTGGAGCCTGAGGTGTGTGCCCTGTTTGTGAATTGTCTGTCCTTGTTTCTCCCAGCTAGACTTTTGTATTCTTTTAATTCCATGAGTAAAAGTGGTAGGTACTAAAGATTAAAATTGAAGGCAGGGGCAGTATCTTCTCAGTTTTAACCTTCAGTACCTACCTCTTTTACTCATGGAATTAAAATAATACAAAAGTAAAGATGTGTCGATTTCTTAATTTTCTATTCCTTCCAAGTTTTACTTACAACACTTGTTTTCTTTCATAAACGAGACTTCTACATGTTGATAAAGGCTAGCATAAAAATTAATATGCTCATTTTTATTTTGGAAGTGAGTATATTATGTGATCCATGACATAAAACCAAACTTTTATAAATATTCAGTTTGGTATGCAGGAATAGGTTTGTTTGTTTGTAATCCAGAAACTGCTACAACTAGCTCAGACACAGAAACCTTGAGTTATATGTGTGTATTTTAATCAAAGTCAGTACTTGCCCTGGTTGGGTAGCTCAGTAGGTTAGAGCATTTTCCTGATTTGTCTAGGTTTCAGGTTTAATCCCTGGTCAGGGCTCATACAAGAATGAGCCAATGAATGCATAAATAAGTGGAACAACAAGCCGATGGTTGTCTCTTTCTTCCCCTCTCCCTCCCTCACTCCCCCCTCTTCCTTTCTCTCTCTCTCTCTCTCTCTCAAAATCAATAAATTAAAAATTTTTAAAAATTCAGTACTTGGGGCTGTGTGGATCAAACTTGGTTAGTTTTATTGCATTAAATAATGGTAGCAGTGTTGAAAGTAGCAAGTATTATACAAGAATGTCAAAGGAAAAGAATGTTAATGGAACGTGTACATTTATAGCGACTACAGGGAGAATGGGAGGTGCCCGAAACCCAAATCTCTAAGTCTAATGTGTTCAGCCCTCTGGTGATAATAAAGAAAAGGTATTGACAGAATCCACTGACACACAGCTCAGGATGTGTGGAAACCTGAGGACACGAGAGGAGCCTCAAATAATGAGGTAAATATCACTGTCTGGGATTTAGGAGCCTGTCCAAAGCAAGACAGGCCAGTTTAAACATGGAAGGTGTAATCCTATTAATTAGATAATTTAAGAGGCGCACCTTTTTATTGTATTGAAGTTGACATTGTCTAGTTTTGCATTGTGCCAGAAAGCTCTAAACTTAACTCCCTGTCCTGTCCACACTCTCTGAGCTTAGGTGGGGCCGCATCGGCATGAGATGTGCCGTTTAATGTGGGTTAGACCACGTCCCATTTCCAGACACAACGTCTATTCTCTCACCTCTGGCTTATTTCAGGTTGTTTCTCTTCCATCTCTACCTGTTGACCTTGTATGCATCCTTAGAATCCACCTTAGAATCCAGCTAGGACTCCATCGTTCATGGCACTTTTCCTTCCCTACCCACTAAGCATGAATGGGGTGTTTCCCCCTCTCTGAATTCCTACAGTGCTTAATTTGAATTCTAATTAGACATCAGATGTTATACTGTATCACAGATGGTAAAGGCAAGTCTTTTGCTCATGTTCCCCAATTCTGTTATCCATGTAGTCACTTGGCGTGTTAGGCGGGAGGGCAGGTGGTTTTTCTACAGCCTGTCACCCCATATTGCCTGACTGTCCAGACTGGCTTCCTGGGCTTGGTACATCACCCCTTTGCTGAGCATCCCAGGGGCACCTAGTCCAGAAGGTGATTGTGTTTAATGAATGAAGATCACTGTTTTTTATTTTTTATTTTCCTAGCCCAAGAAATTTAGACATCCTTTTAATTTTGACTTCTTTGTGTTAGTAATTCAAGTTATTAAAGTAATTTAAAATTTGTTTCAAAGTGATCCATTTATGTACTTTAAGGACTCAAACAATTGCATAAAACTTGGAATGAAAAATAGTAGTCCCTTCCTTTTTCCTGTGCCCAGTGGCCACTTCCTCACTTTTTAACTATTATTTTTGGGTATCAATCCCTATATTGCTGCATAACTGACATTTCTTGGCTTTCAGAAGTGTCTGTTGACTTTGTGTGGAAGATGATGATTTAGCTCCCTTACCCTCACACTTCTCTTCACCTGGATTATTATGTGTAAAACTTTTGGATAAGTCAGTATCCCTTGTTCACATAATTAGAGCTGTGTAAGTGTTATTTATGGCTGAGGCTCATTACTTGTACTGAAAGGGATTGCAATCCCCAGCCTCCTCTAGTGACCAGGAGAAACTTGACCTCTTGGACTCATGAGGACAGACCCCTGGGTCCAGGCTGCCCATTTTCCCATTTACAGTTAGTTAAGATATCTAAACATGCTACATAAATATTAGCTCTTGTTATCACTTCAGTTTTATAATTTGAGCCAAACCTAATTTAGTTCAGTTCTTAGCTGTATGTGCATGAACAAACTTAAAAGCACTTTTGCCAACAGCTGTGTTTAGAGAAATATAGAAAGTCCAGGTGTGTATTTATGTATAGAACTCTGGCTGGATAGAAACTTCTTAGCATTGTACCTCAAAGGCAGAGGAAACGTGTGTTGACAAATTCTCATTAATAATTAATAATTCTCTGTTATGTTTCAGGGGAGGGCCCTTCTGGTTATCGGTGTTAGGTGTTTCGCTTTGGCAGCCTGCAGTTTGCACTACCTTGGAAAAGTCACACGTACACTTCCAAAACTGTCCTTATTCTTGTCTTCCTGTTGAAACTCACATGCTACTGGAGCCCAAATCAAATCTAATGCTGTGCATGCTGCTCTCTTGCAGTTTTCCCAGAAGCCGCATATTGTATTATACTTGATAAGCAAGGCCCCTGATTTTATTATTTTAAAAGTATAGATGATCGTTTGGAAGATAAAAGCTTCTGAGTCATAAATAGGCAGGCTGGGGATTGGCTTGTGGAGTTGATGAGACTGGTGGGAGACCAATTTCACATAAGAATAAGATATTTGAGAGAAGAGCTAACTGCCAAGTAACTGAGGGGATGAGGGACAAAGACAGTGACTCTCATTTGTTTGTAAAAATACTGTTTTGGGGATTCATACTAATGGGTTACCCTCATGTGTGAGAGTGTGACTTAAATATCTACCTAAACTTTTGTCATCGATCAAAAGGGGGGAGGGTGTTTAGATAATGAACATTGAGTAGAGAGAAAGTCTCTGGTCATTGAATATTGATCAACAGAGGGATTTGGGGTAAACACCCCCCCATCCCTGCACAGCTGAGCATCTGTCCTGCCATGTGCCTCTCACAGACATGTAACTAACCTCAGTCCTTTTTCCCTTTCAGTCTTTCCTAGGGGCCCTCAGGCAGTCTATCAGCCTGCCCCTGTGAGGCCTTTGGCCGTCTTTGGCTGGAGAGTCATTCAGAACAAAATGAAGGAAAATTACAGCAGATTTGTCCACTTCAGGATGGAGGCAGAATCAGGGTTAGATTAACCTGTGATTTTTTGCAGTTAAGCCTGCATAATGTATTTATAGTTACATTTGGGAACAAAGGTGAGCTCTGCCCATGCTCAGCCTGGGGACCTTGGGCTAGTCATGTGATCTCTGTAAATCTCTGCTTCCCACCTGAAAAGGGGTCTCCTACCACCTGTCTCATTAAAATTGGTGGGACGTGTAAATGAAGTGATGTGCATTTCCTGCCTGCAGTGCCCAGCCAAGGTAGGTGGTCAGTCAGTGGTACAGGCTCTTATTAATATCACAGGCTGATTGTTGCTTCAAAATTTTCTTGAGATGGGATAAT